AGTCATGTGTATCCTCTAAGAAATGATGTTGAACTCCTCAAATAATGGACAAATCTCAAAGTTGTTATGACAAAATAGGTTGTCCGAAGGATCGAAATGGTTAATCAACCATTGCAACAGTCCAGTTGGACCCAAATGTTCCGAGAGTAGCTCAGCCCGTTGAGTTCAAAAGGTAAAAGCAAATCCCAGTCTTCCTGGTTGAAACTGCAGAACAATGCTTCAAATGCAAGTGTGAAGGACCGATCTATGAAGAATGTTGAAGAAATAAAGAGTTTGGGGAAGTTGTTGAGTTGAAACTTTGTATGGAAAGGGAGAAATATGCTTCTAAAGCGTGTGGGAGTGTTATGGGCTTTTATAGCAATAATAAAAGGACAAGCTTGACAGCTGGCTGCCACTGCAGCACTAGTGGCACACACCACTACGTGTGACGCAGGGCACAGATGAAGTGGCGCATGTCATTAGGTAGCAGACAGTTGGAATATTCATTGTTTTGTTGCACTTTTGACTTTCAGATTTGACAAGCAGTGTAAACATCAGTTATAAAGCAAAAACGCACCCTAACCACTCAGAAACATGTAAAGAAGTTGGCATTTGCCTTCATATAAATGAAAATATCTGTTTCTTTATAAAAGACTATTCTCCAAACTAGGTCCTGAATACAAAAAAGGGAAAAGAGAAAGAAAATGGGCTAGGGCAGCCAGCTTAAGACTCATAGGAAGCCATCTCCTTCGAATCATTACTGTCGGACTCCTCGGTCTCTTCAACGATAACCAGCCTACGACCAGCTCGCTTGCCTCGCTACAACTCTGGGCCTCAGCCGCTGGAGGCGCATGCTAGTTCTCTGCATACGTTTATAAACATTAGTAATTGCATTTCATGCATACATGGCATATGCATTGTATAGTTTTCTCTGTTTTGCTCTTTTTAACACATACAGATACATGCTCGCCTGAGAGCCTCGCCACCGTTAACTTGAGGAGCGCTGCTTCGTACTGCTTGCACACTTCATTATAATCAGCAACATACATCTATAACATCAGCCAGAGGCAGCCAAAAAGCACACAAAATAATACAAAAATGTTGTCAAGAAAAGAGAAAATAAAGCTTATGTGGGTGTAGTCTGGAATTGTCCGATAAGGGCTCACAAGATGGGTCTCCACCATGCCCTATGTTGGTAGAGGTGGAGGTGGTGATGGTAGGCTGAATTAATGATAGGTAAGGGTTTTAAGCATTAAATGAGGTTAGGATAGTCATGTTCAAGCATTTGCCACTTTGGCATGATGAGGTGAATTAAATGTTAGGTCAAAAAAGTTTTTAGCTAGGCAAAAGTGGGTTACATAGAGTTCTAATATATTTCGATTGTCCACGTTATTAGGAGACACCGAATTAAATCGAGACACTCAATTAATAGTACTTTTCATTCAAACACCAAAAATAACATTATCACATCATTAATCATCAACTTTATCGTCATCATCATCACATAATATGAACACATTGGAGGAGACTCAACCATCCTCATAATATACACCCTTGAACTCTCTTATTTTAATCTTGTGACACCGCCAACGTTTACTTTGATCCATTAAATATTTCAACTTATAAAACTGCATTTATTAAATACTTTAATTTTTTCAAAATTATTTAATTGAATATTTTAACTTGCAAATATAGATCAATTAATAACTTATTAAAAATTTAAAATTTATGAAAATTTATTGTTCCAAAAGTCATGATAACTATATATCAAGTTGACATTTTACAGATAAAAGCCAAAAATCCTAAAAATTATTAATATTAGTGTCGAAAAGTGTATTATATTATCAAAATTTATAAGTTCAAGTACATAATATGTCATCTGCATAATTAGGAGTGCCACAAGATTAAAATTGTAAAGTTTAGAGGTGAATTTATGTATTCAGCCAATATTTATTACATATCAATTAAGTTCTAGGTGATTACAAAACTGCTAAATTGTTTAACAGATATCAAAGAGAAATCGTATACGTAAAATAAAGAAGCCGCAGTTGAGGGAAACAAATGTTGGACTTCCAGTTGACATCCTCTTTCTGGAATATGAAAAAATTTAGTAAGGGTGTGCGCCATCTTCACTTCATCTTTTTTTTTTTTTTTTTTTCCTTTTTTTTTTTTTTTTTTTTTTCCCTCTTTTTTATTGATTAAAGTATTTGACGCGGTTGATGATTTTGGTATGCTATGCTTCATCGAGCAGTTAAAAAAGGCATGTGAGCCTGGAGGACCTAAAATCAATTTGGAATGTTAAGCCCATTTCTGAATCAAAATACTAACTAAAAATTCATTGAGTAGTGGAATATATAAATAATAAAAATCAAGTGGCTAAGCAAAGAGAATATATTTAAAGAATATTCTTTCGTCCTTAAAAAGATATTTCATCTTTCCTTTTAATTTGATTCAAAATATAGTCTACTTTTTTTTTTTTTTTTTTTTTTTTTTTTTTTTTGCATTATAATTAATCATTAAATTGTTTATTATATCTTTGTTAAATTTTATCTTGTTTTTTATAACCTTCATTAATTTTTATTTATTATTCTAATATAATAATTGCTCATGTGTTATTTAAGATAGGCATAATAGAAAAATTATATAAATAAAATTATTCTTTAACCATAACAATTGCTATTTTTTTAATCTATATGAAAATAAAAAGTGAATTATCTTTTTGAGACGTAGGGAATAAATAAAAAGTGAAGAAAAGCTTACAAAATCTATCATCTCTAAGTTTATACTTCTCTTCATATTTAAAAAAAAAAAAAAAAAAGAATAAAAGGAAAATTATGAGTTAAAAATTAAGAGAAAACAAAAGTTTATCTTGAAGTTCTATCAAGCATCATAAAATTAGAGAGAAATTACGGATTTGATTTATTGAGATTTATCCAAAATAAATAAGAGGAATTTGAAATTTTTTTTTTTTTTGGGAGAGTTCAAAATAAGGAATCAAAATGGATGAAGAATCAAGAACAAGAGAGAAAAAGAGAGGAAATTGATATGAAGAGATAGAAAGAAGAGGAAAAAGAGCACGTCCTTTAGATAAAGTCATATTGGCATCAAAAAACAACTCCTCCACTCTCATTGAAGAGATTGAAATCACTCTTCATTTTTCAGCGTGACGAGGTGGAAGATTATTATTAGAAATTTTAAATTCAATGGAATAATAGTGCCCCGCAAACTTAGGGGTACAACAGAGTTAATTCTGTAAACTTGGTGAACAAATTTATGAATTAGGCTAAATCCATGTACCTTATGCAACATTCCCATAATTCTATCATATTGCCTTTTTGTCAGTTAAGTCCTTGGTCAATTACAGTTCAGTTATTTATTTTATTTATAGCATCAACTAAGATGACTTTGGAAACTATTAAATTCATTAGAAGAACTAAACTTGAGAAACTATTTAATTCAATTTAAAAAAAAAAAAAAAAAAGATAGACTCGTGCAATTTTTTTTTTCTTTTGGAGGAAGATAGACTTGTATAATTGAATTTAATTTGGTATATTCTATTCCAGATGGAAGTTTCAATTTAAAATATGAAATTCAAAATAAAATGTATTTTTTAAAAATTTATATATGACTTATAACTTGTAAAATAAATGCCATCTTTCAATCCATTTTCTTAACTTTTTATTTCTAATTTTAATTATACTAGTATTTCTTTTAATGTGTGTTGCACATTATTTATACTCGTTGATAAATTAATATAAATAATTTTTAAGAAAACAACAATCCTACTTAATTTAAATATTAATATTTTTTTGAAATTTTTTATTTATTAAGAAACAAAGTTCTAGAATTTTAAAAAACAGAATTTTAACATAATAAGAATGGAATAAAAATTTTCGTTCCACATAATAGAATGGGAATGCATTGTTAGTCTTAAGATATTTTAAAACAGGATTAAAATAATGTCATTCCAATCCAATCTAACTGAATTATATCTCTAGATCAGGTATGGAAGCGATGTGGATAGTAATTAAAAATAATGTCATTCCAATCATGTCTTTCTTACCCACTCCACTCCGTTTAAAGATGATATAAATAATTATAAGTGAGTTTGTAACGGACACAGATAGTGAAATTGCTACCTGTTATGGATATAGATAGCGTATGAGTATAAGTCTTTAGATACCTATTACCCACTATATTAAATGGGTTTGACAGTGAGTACCCATAAATATCTTATCCATTATTAGTAAAAACTGTATTTTAAATAAATTCGAATTTAAGAGTTGCGGATATCCTACCAATATAAAAGTACTTTAAACGAATTTTGAACAGATACGAGTAATAAAAAAATTTAAACGGGTTTGAATATAGATACTTAAATGGATATTTAAATAAATTTAGAATGTTTAAATTTTGAACAGATACGAGTAATAAAAAAATTTAAACGGGTTTGAATATAGATACTTAAATGGATATTTAAATAAATTTAGAATGTTTAAATTTTGAACAGATACGAGTAATAAAAAAATTTAAACGGGTTTGAATATAGATACTTAAATGGATATTTAAATAAATTTAGAATGTTTAAATTTTGAACAGATACGAGTAATAAAAAAATTTAAACGGGTTTGAATATAGATACTTAAATGGATATTTAAATAAATTTAGAATGACTTTTCTATATTTTCAATCTCATCTAAAAATGAAATTAATCTCAAACCTAAAAAAGGGCGTAAGACTACTCATCAAAACAACCAAAATTAAAGGAAAAAAAAAAAAAAAAAAGAATTCTAATTATCTAAGTGCATGCAACTAGTAGAAGCTCCCAGACACATTTATTCATCATAAGCTCTTGTAAACCGAGGACACAATTAAAACTCTCGGGCAGGGGGAAAAATTCCTGCTTGAAATCAATTAGACTTAACAACCCTAGATGAGACCCCCAAATAAAGGAAAAATTTGCTTATGGTATACACAAATACCCCCTAACCAAAATGCTTGAGCTTCTAAACAGTGATCAGTTGGCAGAATCATATGGATTGCACCTCAAAAGAACAAAAATTAGAACTTTAAGTGACCTCATTGCAACAAATTAATTTTTAGTGATTGCAATAGAACTGAGGTCTAAGTTTAGTGACCACTGGTACAATTTATTTGTGCAATTTCTTACAAACAATTAGACCCATGAAAACTGAAGGCAGACAAACTTAGACCAATAAATTCCAATCCATTTGTTCGAAAGCATTGCACTTCCTTTCATAATCCTAATGTATCAAAGGTGGCAAATTCATAAAATATACCTTTTCAAGGATAGCTATCCATACTAGAGCAGATTTGGAATCTCATTATCAATATTTGCAGAGTAGGTTAACTCCGAGAATATATGCAAAAAGCCTGCCATCCGCCATTTCTTGTAGCACGCAAGACAGGTAAATGCTAATTCGTAAATAATGTAATCATGGTGTTGGTCCTGTTGGATTGTGAGCTTCTATATCAACATGCCGAATACCGGGAACAAGCTCTTGTATCTCCTTTTCAAGCCTATCGACTTCACTTCCTAAAGCAGTAACTACTTCCTCACCTGCAAGGGGAGCCCACTTATTTGAACAGATGCAACAGCTGAACGAAAAAATTAAATTTGCAAGAGTGAAATGTACCATAGTTTGACATCATCTTGAGCAATGCAGTGTCATCCTTCTCCTTGGCAGCTTCACGAAACTGCATAGAACCAATTCTAGTTACATATGCATAACGACATCCACCGGATTAGAAATTCATGTGGTTTTGCCTTTCATTTCAGACCTTCAACGAGCAGCCAATACCACACACATGTAAAAGCAAAGAACAACCTCGGAATATTATAGATGAAATATCTAGAAGGATAAAACATAAAAGAAAAACCTACTCACAAACTATAACTTGTTTTTGGATTGATTAAGAGATGGATGTTATATTAGCAGATGGTGACTTTTGGCGCTTTTACCCATTATAGTATGTATAATTTTTTGGATCTAGTTAATGGGGGAGCTATTTTCATTGAATGCTTCTAGGGTTCAAATATACAAATCTTATCTCATAAAAAACTATGAAAATAATAATTAAAATTGCCTATTAAAAATTATAAAATTTTTGTTCATATGGTTTTTTGAATTAATATTTAACTTACATGTCTAATACTAAATAATGTTAACTGCCAGCAAGGAAAAAATTATCATCTCCACATGATAAGAACTTATTATGTAAAAGTTGACAGATAGGCACTCACTGTTGATTAAAGCCATCAGAATCAAACAAACCCTAGAGCCCTTAGTTGTTAATTGGTTAATTAGCTAGAAGATATCGTCACTCTAAGAGCCCTATAATAATAAAGAGGAAAAAAAAAAAAAAAAACAGAAGCAATTAGATGTAATCAAATTCAGTCCTGAATAAACAGATCATTTTTCTCTATCTTTGTCTCATAGCACATGGTGAACATGTTTCCTCACCGCACAACACTCACTACAATACATCATAGCTTGTCAAATTGCATGCTATAAAATTCTCCCCTTGACGTAGTATGGGATTCGTCTCACACTTATATGCTTCATGCATCTTGCTTTAATCTAAAAATAGACATCCTCACTACTCATATTTTAGTAATAGAGTCCACATAATTTAAGTGTGCCTTGTTAGACTTAAATGGCTTCTAGGCTATACACACTTCAATTAGCATATATCCTCTTGGATGCAGTTTTTCAACACACATGACCGAAACAAAAAGATAAATGCATGAGACCAACCCTTTATGTTATCCAACAATCGTAGAGAACATTCTTATCATGCCAGATGTTTAAATACTAGAGACTATCCTTTAATACATATCATTTTCATTCAAAAATTTCCCATTTAATACCTCTTGAGACTCCATCACGTGCCTTCTCTAAATCTATACATACCATAAGGAAGAACTTTTCTTCTCTTAAAACTTCTCTATCGACCCTCTTATAAAAGATATTGCCTCGACAACCATCTTCTTGGCAGAAAACCTAAATAGGCTTCTGGAGGTATGTTGAAATCCTTGTAATTAATATTGATTTACTATCCTAGTTAGCTAGACTTTCCTAGTTAATTATTTTCCTATTCTAGAGAAATCCTTGTATATAAATTACCTAGTGTAGGGATTGTAGAAAACACACAATAGAAAGGAATACAAAATTTTGTCCTTCAATTTCTTCATGGTATCGAGTGATTGCCGTGAATTTTTCAGCAATGATTCTCGTTTGAGATTGGTTTGAGATACACACAGCACCGGCAGGAGTAAGAGTTGGTCATCACCGCCCACCTCAGAAGGAAGAGCGACCACCAATCGGCTCTCCGTCCAGACAACGTCACCGTCTGACCACGCACGTGTGCACACGCGCCGCCAGAAGTTTCTGGCTATTCTTCACGCGCCGGCATATGCAACTGTTTCCAGCAAGCTCCGTTGAGGTTTTTTGTTTCGGCAGCCTCGATTTGGTGTTGCGACTTTGACCTACTGGTCCTTGCTCCAATTTTGCCTTTTTGGAATTTTTCCCCTTTTTGGGCTTATTTCCACTACTACCGTCCATTTGTGTTTTTTTAATCTGCCAATACCAGCTATCAATATTTTTTATTCTGGTAGTATGGGTAACAGAAAGAAGATAGATATGGGTTTTCACTCAGAACGTCCTTCATTCAGAAAGTCCTTCACTTCAGATTAGTCCGGTGAAGTTAGATGGAACAAATTACCTAGCTTGGTCTCGATTCTATTTATTATTCATCGAAGCTAGAGGTTCGCAGTGATACCTTGATGGTGGAGCGACAAAACCAAATTCGAAAGATCCGGGCTTTAACAAGTGGAAACCTGAGAATTCCCTTATTATGTCTTGGCAAATAAATTCCATGCAGTCAACTATTTCCCAAGGATATTTGCTCCTTGATACAGCTAAGAAGATATGGGATGCCACTTCACAAACTTATTCACAAACTGGAAACTATGCTCAGAGATATGAATTGCGACAGAAAGTTCATGAGACAAAGCAGGGAGATCTGACTATCGCTCAGTATTTTGTTGAACTTAGTGGGTTGTGGCAGGAACTGGATTATTACCAGGATTTTCAAGCAAATTGTCCTACTGATGTAACTCAAGTTCAGAAGTTGATTGAAGTAGAACGTGTATATGATTTTCTGGCTGGCCTAAATAACGAGTATGATCAGATTCATGTTCAAGTTCTTGGACGAACCCTTGCCTATCTTTTGCAACAAGCATACTACTTTGTACAACGAGGAGACTAGGAGTGTCATGGTTCACAGGCCTATGGTTGATAAAGCAGGATTGATTGCTAATTCTACAAGAGAACAAATACAGCCTACGCAACTAAGGGGCATGGAGGGAAACGTGTTAATTCTTCTAGACCACAAACACATATATCTGATGGTGAAGCTTTATCTGAGGAACCGTCTACTGTTGGTAGCTTTTCTCATAAGGAAATTCAATCCTTAAAATGATTCTTGTCACAACTTGATTCTTCCTCAACTCAAACTATGGCTTCTGATTTTGTCAATTCAGGTAATGCTTTTCTTACTTTCCTTGCTAAAATTGCAAAACCCTCTTGGGTTATAGATTCAGGAGCAAACAAACATACAATGGGCTCTATAAAACATTTCCTCACATATTCTAAATATCAAGGCACTGACAAAATCAGTATTGCGGATGGCTCCTTAGTACCTATTGTTGGCACAGGTTCTATTGATTGTACTCTCAATATTAATCTCTCCTCTATTCTTCATGTTTCTAGATTTCCTGTTAATCTCTTATCTGTTAGCTTAATCACAAAAGCACTTAATTGCAAAGTAACCTTTTATCCTACTCATTCTATATTTCATGAGTTGAACATAGGGAGACCGATTGGTAAGGGTAGCTTGCGTGATGGACTGTATCTGTTGGATGACGTGTGTCGTTTTTTAAATTCGGGTACTGTTAAGGATTAGTTGTAAATAGAGTTCTATTAGGAGTTAGATTCCTAATTAGTTTATGATTTGTATTCCTAAATAGCTAGGTAGCATAGAAATTCAGGGTAGCTTGCGTGATTGGACTGTATCTGTTGATGACGTGTGTCGTTCTATTTAATTCGGGTACTGTTAAGGATTAGTTGTATAGAGTTCTATTAGGAGTTAGATTTTCCTAATAGGTATTATGATTTGTATTCCCTAAAATAAGCTAGGTAGCATAGAAATTCCTTATAATATAGACTAATTGAATTTGATTGATGAAGATACAAGAAATTATAATTACAATATAATTCCTCTCACATGAGTATCAAAAAGAGCCTTCCTTCCGAAAAAAAAAAAGAGAAAAATTTCTCGAACCTTCCTTCCGAGAAGTCATTGCCACTAGGGCCTTTCTAGGGTTAGTATTTTGTCCCACCACCGACCTCAGGATATTCTCCAGCCGCTGATCAGCGCCTCCCCAGAATCCGGTTGCCGGATTCCAAGTGAATGGCCCCCACGCGTCACCTCTTTCTTTTTGTTCTGGCTCATGCGTTGGCGCATGTCCAGTGGTCTTTTTCACTCTGGTTCCTCTCTTCGGCGTTGACTTGAAGCTGTGTTGCGAATCTGTTGCATCTGTGTTGGGCAGTCTTCTGCTACTGTTGTTGCTTTAATTTGCTGAGGAAACCTATCTTTTCCCTTGTTGTGACAATTGTTTTAGGTATTTTTCGGTCATTTTCTAGTGATTCCTTATTGCATTTTCCTTATTGCATTAGGGTTGGTAACTGCACCTTTGCTCTGGCAGTTAGGGTATTCTGCCTTTTGAACCTTCTCCTTTGTTGTCGAGAGCAGTGCAACCCCAGTGAGTTAGCATTGTGTTCTTGGCCTTCAGTGGTGTGCTCTGTTTGCCAGAGTTTCCTTTGCTGCGTTTCTAAATATCTGCGCTACTGGACTTCCTCTTTGAGGCATTGATTGTGGAAGCTTGAAACAGCCTTGGGAGTTGTGGGCTTCCTCTTTGAGGCATTGATTATGGAAGCTTGAAACGGCCCTGAGAGTTGTTTTCTGGTTCAGTGAGATTTGTTTCGACAACCTAAGTGTGTTGTCTTAATTCTGCTGCTACTATTTGGTTTGGATTCTATATTACTATAATGAAGTGGGTACAGTTGCTGAGTATGGTATTGTGCTTTGCTGAAAGTAGTAGTTTGTAACAAGTTGCGCATGATTAACATCTATGCTTCAACTTGAGGGGGAGTGTTAAGGATTAGTTGTAAATAGAGTACTATTAGGAGTTAGATTCCTAATTAGTTTATGATTTGTATTCCTAAATAGCTTAATCGATTGATGAGATACAAAAAATACAATTACAATATATTGCTTCAACAGGTACCAATCAAGCTTTTTAGGAACTTCTAGGGGAAATCCTTCCGGTGAGGTTATTCAATGGCAATTAGAGATTAAGGACATCCTTCTTATCTGTTTTTAGACGTTTATTTTCCCACTTTGGTTTACTAGTGGTGATTTTGATTTATTAGTGTGATTTTGATTTATTAGTATGTGATGCTTGTGAACTTGCCAAACACACTAGGCATTCTTATTCTCCAATTAATAATAAAAGTTTGGTACATTTTTCTACTATTCATTCTGATGTATGGGTGCTACTAAAACTATCTCCCTTTCTGGTCATAGATGGTCTGTGACCTTTATTGATTGTTGCACTAGATTGACTTGGGTTTATTTGATGAAAGCAAAAGATGAAGTTTTTTTGTGTTTTTAGAACTTCCATAAAATTATTTGTACTTAGTTTGATGTGCATGTTAAAATCCTAATTGATAATGGTACTGAATACATAAATGCAAATTTCGTACCTATTTAGATTCTAACGGTATCATACATCAAACTAGTCGTGTCAATACTAGTGCTCAAAATGAATAGCTGAAAGGAAAAATAGGCATTTACTGGAAGTAGCTAGGTGGTCTCTTATATTTTCTATGAATCTTCCTAAACCATATTGGGAGGATGCTATTTTGACTGCTGCTTACATTATTAATCATATGCCTCTTCGTACTTTAAACTTTAAAACTCCATTAGAGATTCTTGAAGGGAAAAACTCTTATCTTGTACCTCCTAAAGTTTTTGGCTATGTTTATTTTGTTCATCAGAACAATCTAGGCAAATTAGATCCTCGAGCTTTGAAGTGTGTGTTTGTTGGCCACTCTAATACTCAAAAGGGATACAAATGTTATTATCCTCCTTCGAGAAAATACTTTGTGAGCATGAATGTTACCTTTAGGGAATTTGAATCTTATTTTCCTTCCCAGTCACCTCAGTCACTCTTCAAGGGGAGAATGTCAGATGGAAGAGGTGATGGATATTCTGTAGAAAATACTTTGTGAGCATGAATGTTACCTTTAGGGAATTTGAATCTTATTTTCCTTCCCAGTCACCTCTTCAAGGGGAGAAATGTCAGATGGAAGAGGTGATGGATAATTCTGTGGAGATTCCTTTCAAATGGGAGATTCCTACAGACATAGATAATAAGAAAGACCAACCAACAGAAACTCTAGGAAGATTGGATAGACTTGATTTGAAAACCTACACACAGCAGGGTAATACAAATACAACCATAGAGCATGAAACCTCTGCTCAACCGTCCTCTCCAAATTTAGGTCCTGAAAATACAGAAGAACAACAATCTGGTGAGTCTTCTTTAATCCCTGTTGATTCTGATCCTAATCCTGATTCTAATCCCTCTGATAATGACCTTGATATTCCTATTGCTCTTAGAAAATGAGTTAGAACATGCACTAAACACCCAATGTCCCATTTTATCTCCTATAATGCTCTGTCCTCCTCCTATAGAGCCTTTGTTTTGTCTGTTTCTATAAAATAGGATTGGCAAGAGGCATCACAAGACTCGAGATGGAGGGCTGCAATAGTTGAGGAGATGAAAGCTTTGGCAAAAAATGAGACATGCGATCTTGTAATTCTTCCACTAGGAAAAAAAGCCAGTTGGATGTAAATAGGTGTTCACAGTTAAACATAGGGCAAATGGTTCAATTGAGAGGTACAAGGTTAGATTGATAGCCAAAGGGTTCAGTCAGACCTATGGGGTTAATTACCAGAAGACGTTTGCCCCTGTAGCTAAAATGAACACTATCAGAATTTTATTGTCTTGTGCAGACTGGGAGTTACATCAATTTGATGTTAAAAATGCCTTTCTATATGGCGATTTAAAAGAAGAGGTGTATATGGATCTTCCTTCTAGATTTGCTGATGACAAGACTAGAGGGAAAGTTTGCAAGCTCAATAAGTCATTATTATGGGCTGAAGCAGTCACCAAGAGCATGGTTTGAAAGATTTAGCAAAGCCATGTTTTCTTTTGGGTACATTCAAAGCGATGTGGATCATACCTTGTTCATTAAACACCATACAGGTAAGACCACATTACTTATTGTTTATGTTGATGATATAGTGGTGACATGGAATAATGAAGAAGAAATGACTCACTTGAGAAATTTATTAGCTAGGGAGTTTAGGATTAAGGATTTGCGAAAGTTGAGATATTTTCTTGGAATAGAAGTTGCTAGATCTGAAAAAAGAATTTTTATCTCCCAAAGGAAGTACATTGTTGATCTCCTTAAGGAAACTGGTATGTTGGGATGTAAGCCTGCAGAATCACCTATTGAAGCTAATCATAAGCTTCAAGCTAGAGTGGGAAGTCCGGTTGATGTAGGCAGGTATCAGAGATTGATTGGGAAACTGATTTATTTTTCCCATACTAGACTAGATATTGCCTATATTATTAGTCTAGTGAGTCAGTACATACATGACCCTTGGGAGTCTCACTTAGAAAATGTGCATCAAATTTTGAGATATTTAAAATCAGCCCCAGGTAGAGGATTGTTATTTTCTAAACATGGCCATTTGAAAATAAAAGGCTACACAGATGCAAACTGGGTTGGTTCCCTTGATGACAGAAGATCAACCTCAGTATATTGTGTTTTTCTCGGTGGAAACTTGATCATATGGAGAAGCAAGAAACAAACTGTTGTTGCTAGGTCCAGTGCAGAAGCTGAGTATAGAGCTATGACACAAGGAATCTGTGAACTCCTATGGTTGCATAGAGTGATGAGAGAATTAAAGTTGTTCGAAGCAACAGATATATCCTTGTTTTGTGATAGTAAAGCAGCCATAAGTATAGTGAATAATCCAATCCAGCATGATTGAACTAAACACGTAGAGATTGATCGTCACTTTATAAAAGAGTAGATAGTTGAAGGTTCCATAAATTTCCTATGTGGCTTCAAAAGAACAACTGGCTGATGTTTTCACAAAGGGTTTGAGTAGCAAGTTGTTTCATCCTTTGGTTTGCAAGTTGGGCATGTGTAATATCTTTGCACCAACTTGAGGGGAAGTGTTGAAATCCTTGTAATTAATATTGATTTACTTTTCCAGTTAGCTAAACTTTCCCGGTTAATTATTTTCCTATTCTAGAGAAATTCTTGTATACAAATTACCTAGTGTAGGGATTGTAGATAACACACAATAGAAAGGAATACAAAACTCTATCCTTTAATTTCTTCAAGGTAATTGCCACATCTTTAGATATATTCAAAGCTTCGTTATGTGGCCTCATGAGCTTCAAAGTTCTAAAATTTGAGGAACATTGCACATATCCCTTACTTGTATTTATCTTTTTTTATTTTTGGTTTGTAGGATGGTATTCAAGTAAGACCTTTTCAACAATGGCGATTTCAAGTTTCAAACCATTGACCTTGCATGTAAAATTCGCTCAAGGAAGCAACCGCTTGGTATATCTCTTACCTTTAAAGATATGAATATAGGACTCCTCTAACTCATTGAGAATTTTCTTCAATATCGAAATCTTATTAAATAGAGTCAAAAAACACCATTCCTATCTCAATTGCAACTAAAATGAGAATCCCATCCAACCCACAAGTTGTGCCCTTTTTCATCTTCTTCAAAGCATCTTAAAATTCCTCCAACACAACAATGACATGCAACTCAATTCGACTGTGCAACATAATAATTACACTAGAATGTAGACTTGAAATGAGAAAAGTATTTTTGTAGCCTATTACTAGAGCAACAGAGGTTTTTAAAATTTTAGGACACAGACGATCTCACTACAACCATGTTATTAGGCTAGGGATTTGCTTTCATGTGAAAATTTACAAGGTATAATGATTAATGAGGTAAGGTTTTCACCTCAAAACTAAGCTTAAAAAGGAAAATTATTAACACATAAATTTTGGGGGAAAAAGATCAGACTGGAAATAATCTTTAATCCCTAGAAAAAATTAATAGAGAAATCAACAAGTAAACATGTAAGCGTCAAGTTTCAAGAAACTTACACAGGAACAACTCAATATGGGGCTATGTTACTCAGACTCAAGTACATGCTGGAAACGGATAGTGTTAGACTTGTAAACTTCCTCAATAGAAAATGTGGGAGATATGGCTCCAAATTACAAATTTAAATACGGCGTGCTTAAATACATTATGTAAACAAACTAAAAATAAAAGATAATAACTGTTGCGAAAGATAATTCTCTCTAAAAGATAAATGTCTCCAAAGATATTTTATGTTAGATAGTTGTATTGATTTAGAAGATAATATGTTAATAATTATGTTGGCTAAGCAGTCTCTTCTTGTCATGGTATCAGGTATGGCATGTCAAATTGGTGAGTCCAAGTAACATAGATAGGGGAAGGGTGGATTGCAAGATACTTCCTAATTTAGATGCAAAACAAGTCCATAAATTATATAATTAATAAAAAATTCACAAAAAGGTCATTTATAATGAAATGTTAGACTACAAATTAACCTGTCTCGCCCACTCTGCACGTCCTGTCCTATTCAGATAATTCTGCACGACCACCACTCCATTAAAATCTGTAGCATAAAAACAGCCACATAATATTGATTGATATTCCTACAATTCCCCATTTCTTATAAAAGAATATCTCGATGATGCTAAAAATTGAGCATTCATTACATGGTATTTCATATCATTCTCAAGCTATGACGGGGGCAGAATTTTCATTATAGTCGGTCATATACCTCCAACTTAGAAAAAACATAAAAATAGATTCATCATCACTGTAACATATAAAAACTCCTTCAACAGTCATTGTCTATATTGATAGCATATCTTATACTTCATTTAGCAACCCACAACTTTCAGTTTACATAGGAAAAATTGGTAAGTATGTACTGAAATATAGATCGACATGCAGAAGCAGGCAAAGGTTAGATAAGCTTGGGGAAATTACCTATTTCTGCTTTAAATCTAAAAAATCCAGGACCTATCACCTCACTTTTGCAATCATATAAAGCATCTACCACCTACAATCAAAGAGAAACATGCATCAAACATCCAAAAGAATCAGGAAAACAACAAAAAATGAGGCTAAAACTATTATACCGGGTCATTTTTTAAGAATTGAAGAACCTTCTCCACATCATGGTCATCCATTGCTCTACCAATCAAAGCATGCCGATTCCTCTGGATAAGAAATATAGCCACCTGCAGATAGTTCAATAACTACATGTTCACCTCAAAGTAATACAAAGAAAAATAGTCTTCAATTCTCATATTAATAACAAGTCATACTCTCCAACCATAAACTCAATTTTTTCCTCGGTTCTCAAATTACAAACAAAACCATCTGCCTCCCCCAAAACCAACCAGCATTTAAACAAATTGTCCCCTATTACAATTGACAAATATAAATAATGAACATCATCATTAAAATAAAACAAAACAAACCCACATCATATCCATCCTATTCCTCATGTTTTGCAACAATAGAACTCTGAATCTAGTATCTCAACAAGAATTATTTGAAGTAGAACAATGGCAGTTTGATGGAAGATGTAACTACATCAATGCTTACAATCGAGCTCGTTCTTCATTTAGATATCCATATAAAGGTCCATTTGGATAGTTAGTTATTTAAAATGATTGAGCATTTGTAATTCGACTCTAGCCTATATTTTATGATTTTACACTTGAAACTCAAATCAGAATTCTCATTAATTTCAAATGATTATATATCCAAACAGACCCTGTAGTAATTTCTTTTAACAGCCAATTTATAGAGTGAAGTGCTCTGAAGGAGCAATCATCCTTATTTAATTTTCAGCTTCACATTCTTGTTAGAATATCAAATTCAAGAAGAATTAAAAACTAAAACTAGATGGGGATATCCCACTGAAAGACCATACACAAAACTGAAGCAAAATGAAAATTGATCATCGAAATCCTCCAATACCTAATTATCAGTATGGTCAGTGTTTCCAACCCCACCAACCCCCCCCCCCCCCCCCCCCCCCAAAACCAAAACAATAAATAAAATTCAATCTCTTTTTCCCCTTTCTTGCCACCATCTCTCTTCTACACAAACCCTCCTTTTCCTCTCTCCTTTTCTCATCCTCTCGTGCCCAACCATTAGGGTTGGTTGCAACCCTTACATTTACTGTAAAGAGTGGTCATTACAATCCAATACCAATCTGTTTTCTGGTTTGTGATTTCAACCCCCCCAAAACCAAAAAAAATAAAATAAAATTCAATCATCTTTTTCCCCTTTCTTTGCCACCCTCTCCTCTATCTACACAACCCTCCTTTTCCTCTCTCCTTTCTCATCCTCTCGTGCCCAACCATTAGGGTTGGTGCAACCCTTACTTTACTGTAAGAAGTGGTCATTACAATCAATACAAATCTGTTTCTGTGTGATTTCCAATTCCTGTATGTAAAGGGGAAATATCATATTGGAAGGGCAAAAATCTGACATATTACATATTAGCCAATATTTGTACCCATGGTTTACAAAGCATGATCAAGAGGATAAAACCAAATTTGGTGTATGATGTTTGCAGATGAAATGTTTTAATAACAAACCAGAACTGATTGGAGCAATGGAGTAACATCCCAAAGTCTTAAGGGTTTCAAATTAAGTAGCATTAAAGCATAGTATATGCATTGTGATTTCAGCAATGAGAAGGGGAAATGATCGAAGTGGGATTAGGCCACAAAGCACACACTTCAACTACCTAAAGTAAAATAACATGTATTATACAAAGAGATGGGTGAAGGGAGAATGTCAACCATCAGATCAAAGGAAGATAAATGATGAGGGATACTGAGACAATATGTGACTATAAAATACAAGATAAGATGAAGGAAAAGTTTTTTAGGATAATCATCTAATCAACTATGCTGAATGACAATGATTATTGGATGTGGAAATAAACAAAATATTCACAAAATTAGCATGGCAAATCGGATGTTCTAACTGATGTTCAAAAAACAAAGATAGAAGGAATAAAGAATGAACTCATTCCAAGTGTTTCCTTCCCCAAAAGCAATCACACCAAAATCACCCCAATTTTCTGCCCAAGGGTTAGCCCAAGCCGGCGGGCCAAGTGGGGAAATCAGCTAGCCCAATAGGATGGCCAGCCAGCAAGGGAAGGTTGTTTGGTCGTGCTAGAAGCTTCTGCCAAAGTGGGGAGAGAATTGGCCAATAGAAGCCAGCAACATAGGTTAAGAGTTGCCATTTACTACTTGATTATTCTAGAACTCTCCACATTCAATTAGCTAGACTGTACATCTAGGATTATTCCAGAAGGCCATTTTTCACCATACATTTAGCATTATAATGGGTGGGTCTGTCTATAAATAGTGGGAAAACATCCCAGCACACATGTTAACTGAAGCCCATCACTTGTAAACACTTGAGCATACTTGTATATTCTCTTTTACTTTTCGACCCGCTTTTAATCAATACTCAATTCTTTGGCCACTGTTGCCCACTCATGTACCCATTTCTACGTAGTTTCTTCATTGTGTTTGTTACCCATCTAAGCCACTCAAGCAAGCTGCACAAAGAGATAGGTTGACCAGCCAACTCAATGGGGAGAGTTTGTTTGTGTCACATGGGAATCTGCCTACAAATTTAACAAGCCTGGGACACTAGGGAGGTGGAAGTGGCATATAGTGAGGAAAAATTGAGAGAAGGGGAATCGAAATAATTTAGAACTATTTATCAGAGACCAACAAATTATGGCCATCACATATTAGACTTTTAGCCTTTCAACACGATATTCCCTATCACAATACTAGAAATCAGAAATGACACTGAAATGGATTTCCATTTGTCATCAGTTGTAATAGTCATTTTCACACTACGACACAAGATTTGTAATGACTGTAATAACTTCGCAAAAACGTAATTACCCTGACAGAGGAGTAGGGTGGCTCAGATTTCCTGAATGAATTATCTCCTTTGAATATATTCGCTCACTATAAATTATTGAATTTATGAGATTACAATGATAGCTAAATTATTTAATATCATTCTAATCATTTTGCTCATTTAAAAAAAATAAAATAAAAATGGCAATTAGGGCTGAGCACATTTCAGTTAAACCAACTGAACCGAACCGAATCAATTCAGTTCAGTTTTTAACATGTTCGTCCAGTTTTTACTGAACCCAAAAGAAAAAAGTTAATAAATAAGCCAAATCCCCAGCAAAAGCAGTTAAAAACCAAACCAAACTGGTTTGGTGGGTTTGATTTAATTCTGTACACTATTGAGTTCACTTCAATTTTCATTTAAAAATATTATGGTTTATTCCTGGATGCTCACCCCTAAATAGCAATGGCCCATTCAATCCAATTCAGTGATTTTATTATAGGCATTTTATTTCACAACAATTTAAAGCCCCTAGCAAATGCACTGATGCAGAAGGTTGAACATATCAAAGTTGTTGGATATAAGAAATGGTATGTGAGGACAACTAATCAGAAAAGATTTAACAGCTCTATAGTTCCAGAAAGAGAAATTTCTAAAAAAGCAACCCTGAACCAATTGGAATGGAGAACACAAATCCACATAACTGACCTTAACTATTTTGAGATTAAGGTTAATTGAACTTTTCTTTTTTCAGAAAAATAATACAATAGTCTTTTACGATAAATTTCAAAGTGAAATTAATGACAAGTAAAATAGATCGCTTACCATCCCAAGTAAGTTACCAACAATAATTGAACCTATAGGATCATAAATTGCATTCCCTGTGGTATTCACTGCAACCAAAGATGCAGCAGCAATAGCAAGTCCAGTTACTGCAGCGCCATCCTGTAAATTTGAGATCATTTACAAAGAGATAATTGAAGACCATATACATGGCATTATTAACAAACAGATGTCCACAGCTAGACATAATTGCAGTGATCATCATGAAGAAGAAAAATCGATAATTCCAACTGAGGACATAAATGTGCATATAAGCATGGAAACTTAAACAACAAATGTCTTCCTTTCCCATGTCAACAGTCCTAATGTTTCCAAAATAAAATATTGTATAATATACAAGTTTAAGGAGAGAAATTCATTAGGCCAAAAAAAATCTCATTTATGTCATCAATTTATCCAGAGTCCAAAATGCTGCCAGTGATCCATATCCTTAAGGTGAAAAATATTGAAAAAATAAAATAAAAATTCTACATAAGAAAATATTTTTCAACTGCTGCCATCACACTGAACTACAGAGCTACAGTTTTAGAAAATCAAGCTAATAGCGAAAACAATACATATATTTAGTTATAAAAAATTCAACTGTCTTTATCTCAATCTAGTTGGGGAACCATATAGATTATTTCCTTCGTTCTAATTGGTTTAGGGCTTCATTTGTAGAAAAGCCCTATAATGATATACTCTTTCCAATCACTTACCCTATGTCATCATAGGTTCATCTCTCATCTCTTTAACTTCTATTACTTGGACTGGAAATGGTCCACCTATCACTTGGACTAGTGCATCTGCAGGTCTACAATAATAAAGCATTTTAAATGGGTTCCAGTGCCATATTCACACGTTCCATAATATCCATACATCCATATCAATGACATGTTTATTCTTATGCATGTTTATTCACCGCCTGACCATAAAAACTTCATCTAGTTCACTTATTACAGCCACTTTTTATATATTTGTACCATAAAAACTGAAAAAAAAAATCTCATGGGCCTTTGAAAAAAAAATCCAATCTCAAACACAGTAACATACTCGAACAGAATAAAAGGACATAAATAAACTTAACTTAAAACGAATGCTAACATAACTAACAGCACTATATTACAGTAACAAGAATCGTAACTTTCATTTAGGTTTATTTTTAAACTCTAGCTCCTGCATCAATGTTGCAGTATATGAACCATAAAATACATAGCATACACTGCAAAAACTATTATAACTGCATCATCTTCAAAAGAATCTGACATTCAAATGAGAAAATCAAGAATAGAGCAAGGTACGGACAAGATGATCAACTCAAGTGAGAAAGAATTAACGAAAATGGTCCAGAATTCCTGACAAAGCTGAGCATTTCTTATTCACAGAAGTTCTAAAGCTTGGAAAATCTTGCCTCGTAAAACAAATGATCACACAGGTACTAGTTTACAGTATCATGTTATAACTAACATGTTAAAGAACCCTGACCGTACAATCCAATGACCAGAAAAATTGAAGCTAACATTTCTATTTGGGGACTGAAATAAACTAGACATATAGCAATTAGTTGGAGATGAAAGCCCAAGGCTCATAAACAATTCGCTTTCTATAAAACCAAGGTCACCGGCAAGGTAATAAATTTGTTTTGCCTAGAAGTTTGTAAATCATGATGAATCGAGCAAAACAAATAATCTTATAAGGAGACACCTCAACCATGTTGACTTTGATATGATATAGTGATTAGTCAAACAACTAAGGGTATCATGTGACAAATGCTTGGAAAATCCACAGTGAATTGAAAAATTTGAAGGCAATTGTCAATTTTTAGCCTTTGCAATCATAAAAGCAAAACAACCAAATAGATGATTCTAATGTTCTGAAGATTATCTTTAGTAGCCACTCAGAAGTTTAAAACATTTGCTAATACAAGACTTACAAGTAACCAAAAAATGAGTGTAGAATGGAAACATATGATATCATTTCAAGAAAATATCTTGCACTGCAATCCCTTTCAGCTTTTCATTTTTTTTTTTTTTTTCTCTTATAAAGGAAAGTTAAATGCAATGTTTGTCTTAGTCAAGAGTTAACTTTTAGATGAAGTTGATATTTCAGTCTCTTTCCTAATATAGATCAAGCTGCATCCCTTGATCATTAATCAGCCATATTAAGATTACTGAATAACAATTATCATTAGATTCACAAACTAAGGAGAAAGGGGCTCAACGAATTACCTCAGTCATGACTGCAACAGATGTCGGATCATGACCACGCCAAACATAATCTCTCACCTTCATACCCTCTGCTGCTGCACCTTTCTTCACAGCTTGTATAGCAACAACAAGAGAAGCACCTGCAATAAGAGCAAAAGAAAAGTTGACATGAAATTACATCACAAGCTTCAGAGCACTTCAAAAGACTTAATGAACAAGAGATGTATGAGTTGTACCTTCAATGATAAATGAACCACCAATCACCAAAGCTGCATATTGAATGTTTGCAGGAGGCTGAAAAAAACATGCTAGTCAATAAACCTTGATCCATTTAACAAGGCAACAGATAAGAACCATGAAAAGGAAAGGAATAAAAAGTGGGCATGGCATTAGGAATTCTATAACAAAACTTTCCCTTGAATTGACTAGGTTAACTTACATGTGAGGTCCACAAGTTCTGAACTCCATGAACAATTGTAGCTCCAGAACCAAGACAAAATATACCAACAGCAGAAATCAAGGACCATACAAACCTTTCTTTGGAATAGCCATAGCTGTGTGATATAAACAAAATGATTTCCACATATCAACAAATTGTAAACAGTAATAATGTAGAAGTATGTTGCTATTCCAATTTCTATATGTGAATAAATGACTGAAAGTATGTTAATATCTCTTGTTTTTATCCTTACACCTCATTCCTTTAAAGAAACAAATCAGGAGAGAAGAAAAATGGGAATGCAATGAAGATATCATAATAATGGAAAATGTAGGTAACTCACGGATGAAGAGCATCTGGTGCACGCCTGGAACTACTCAAACCATAAGCAAGGAGAGCCTACAATGTCAACATAAATTAGTTTATCTGCATTCAATAATCAGTAGATCAAGTTACAACTTATATTATGAACAAGAGATTAATTCAAACATGGTGACCAATAGCATTAGCGTAGGTACCTGGTTTGCAAAATCTGCAGCTGAATGCACAACTTCAGCCAACATTACATGACTGGAGCTCGCTAACCAGACCCCAAACTTAAGAGAGAAGACAAGGAAGTTACACCACAATGCAGTTCTGACAGCTCTTTGACTGCAAAAATAACTAAGAATTAATTGGTGAAAAAAATTGCAGTAGGCATAAGCATCAAAGAGAAACAATTTCCAACATAAAGCCCAGTACAAGAAGAAGAACAAAGTTTGTATAATGCTCAACTTAAAAGAGCAGAAGCATGTGTATGCTGACAAGTAAACTTATGCCTCCCAAAATTTATGATGGCTTTTCAAGCTTTTGTTTGAACACACGGACAAATCAAAGTTGCAAGTATATTAATACCCACAGTAGCTTTGTGATCCAGCATAAGCCTACAAATATATTCACTACATCTACATCACAATTTTTCTTAAACATCAAAGCTGCAGATCATAAGTATGCATGTAGAGGTCTCTTCCACAACCTTCCCATACTCGAGCACTTAAAATAAAATCAGGAACTATTGCATTGGAATTGGAAACATCATAACCAAGCTCTCTTTCACCAGTCTAGAAACTGAATTACATCAAGAAAGCATCGTATCTCATTATTTTTATAGAGTTTCTTCCATTTTCTTTCTCATATTTAAAAGACAAGCTATCTTTGGTTAAAAAAAAAAAACACATGTTTTACAATTTTGCAAAAATATACCTGAATATAGATTTATAATTCTTAATCCTAGAAAAAATTACTTCACAATATGAAAATGACTTGAAATGTAACAACCCCTTTTTTCTCAAACAGCCCAGGAATAACTAGGTGCAGAAAAAGAAGAAAGAAAATTAAAAATAGAGTAAAATATGGAACCTGTGTTGATCATTGATTTCAATCTTCTGTACTTGTTTAGCTCTTCTGAAAAAACCTGCATTAATATCAGAGTGAAAGACCCGCACTTAATATAAAGAAAGAAACAAACAAACAAACCCATTTCAGTTCCAAGAAACTTACTACGACGAGTTATGTAGTGATGATGACCCTGATGATCCAAAGCAACCAAACCCAATAGTAGAAATCGTTTAGAAGAATTAGAAGTTAAAAACCCCCGAGATTGAGTAAAGGAACCAAAGAGATATTTAGAGCTCAAATTTTGTTTAATAAAATTGGGGTCTAAGCTAGTGTTAGTGTTGTTAGTATTGGAAATGGAATTGGTTTGGGTTATTAAAAAGATCAAATCCTTGTTCCATAAAATTGGAGAAGATGAAGAAGGTTTCAAAATGGAGGAAGTTTGATTCTGGGAATGGTAGAGGCGAGACAGAAAACGATATGACGTTTGCATTAAATTAAGGTAAGGATCTCCAATGGCTCTATTTTCCCTTCAAAACTTGTCAGTTGCAGTTGCTTTATTTTGCTGTAGCGATTTCAGGGTTTCCATTTTAGAGAGGGAGAAAGAGAAAGAGAGTACATAGTAGTACATACTAAACAGTTGCTGTGGGTGGGAGGAGGGTATATGCCGTTCCTTTCATTTTCCACTCTCTGTAACCTGGAGATGGTGTGTATATTACTTCAATTTGAAAATAAGAATATTTTTTGAAATCTTAAAATTTCATTCTTAACTATTCAATTGAAAATCCAATTTAAAATTCTATAATTTCTCAACTACAAATATAACTCTAACCTCTTTCATTATATTTTTTTAAATATGTAAATTTTTAAATTTTTTTTAAAAATATGTAAATCTTTAAATTTAATCAAAAATAGTCCTTTTTTTTTTTGGAAACTATAGTTACCATATTATAAATAATAAAATAACATAATTAAATTACAATCAATCAACTAATAAATTAATATGTCTTTAAGCTAAAATTTTAAATTCAATTGGTGAAAATAACTTCACTTGACTATATATATTAATGTGCGTTGCATATTATTATTACTTATTTAATATTCGATATTTATCTTCATCTATTTTTATATAAAATTAAGTATTTATTATAATTTTTCTCCTATACTGCGTGCATTTTAAGAGTATTGATTTCATTTTAAGATTTAAATAAATATAATGATTGATTTATTTTGCACTTTATAAATAGATAGTTACTTGTAATTTGTGACACCTAACATCTAATTTAAAAAAAAAAAAACAATGTGTTCATTTCTCCTTTTAAAATAATACTTTAAATACGTGTTTGTTCATATAGTTATACTCACCTTCATATTCATAATTTTTTTAGATACAATTTTCTATTAATTTAATTTATTTGATATAATATTAAATGTAATGAGTTAATTGCAATTTTGGTGTATGAATTATTTAAAATTTTTCTATTTTGGTATATGAATAGAACAAATTTATTATTTAATATTTAAATCTTAATAATTTTACACTTAAGTGAAGTCAGCTACATGGATAGTCTCAAATCGTTGTTCGACGGTTAGGCCCACTTTTTCATTTTTTAATAATTTTGCTTAAAAAATATATGCTTACACACATATCTAAGTAAATAACTCATTTTAAAAATAAATTTGACATCAAGTTCATTTATATGAATTATGTATTCCAAGTACAATGAGTAAAAAAAAAAAGTGAAGAATTTCACATAATTAATTAATGCTTGCCACAAAAATAACAAAAATAGTTTATTTGAATTTATATTAATTTTCTTTAGGACTCCAATATTTTGGAGAGAATCTGTAGCGAAGATTTAAAAAAAAAAAAAAAAAATGGAGAGAGATGCTGAGCAGGAAATGATTTTAAAAAAAAAAAAAAAAAAAAAATCAGTCGTTGTTTCTTCACATTGTAGAGCCATCATAATAAAGTTTGTAATATTTATATTAGTTTTTTTAAATATAAGTTCTAATTGAGTTAAAATATTTATTCTCCTTTTTTAATATTAAAAATTCCTAATTTAATTTCAAATGAGGTTTTATCATTGCGTTATATTTTGCCTTTCTTATTTGTGTACAAAATATTTTTTGTAATGGTGAAATTTTTTGTTCAGTTTAAAATTTAATTTTTTTGTGTTTAATTCTATTATAATAAAGAATTATTGCCTAATTCAATATGATAACAAATAAACGATGCAGTTAAAATAATAAAAAATCTTATATAAAATTAACTCTTATAACGCAATTTTAGTTTTTTTCTTAATAAAGTTCTTTCCTGTTTCAAATAGTTTCTAGGTTTCCTTTTAATGCCATGGATATAGAGCTAAAGAGTAATAATTGCAATTCCTTTAATATTTTGGTTGTTGACAATAATGCAAAGTTCTATTTGATTTTCAGATGGTTTGATAATGGACATTCAAGCAGATAAACTAAAATATTTGAATATACATTGAAAAATAGGTTAGAAAAAATATATAAAAAGAAAGAAAAAAAAGTATATTAAACATCTGTTTTAGTTTATTGTAACTGTTGTAGTTCTTGTCGCATGATGTAATATTGGATTTCACCCTCAAATGGAAAGTCGATGAAGTTGAAATTGGAGCAACGAGTATAACTTCTTGAGTTGGTCCAACGGTGCCAAAAATTCAAGCTTGCAGGTTAAGAAGGATGCAGGGAATGTTGAAGTTGTGGAATAGAGGCAGTGAAGAAGGGGAGTTTTGCCCTAATAAGTCCCAGTGCGAGTAGGGTCTGTGACAGGGAAAATAAATGTTAACTTGTGGCTTCCAAATGGACAGACTTCAACAGTTTCGCGAGTGGATTTCATTGAATGTTATGAAAAACATGCCAATTCCTCTGCAAGATTGTCTCTATTGGATGGGGGAGCAACCGTGTGTTTTTAGCAATGGGTAGTCCCATTAATGAAAAGATGGCTATCGGCCGCCTCCAAGTCAAGAAGTGGAATAAACGAGGCTGAACCTCTCCTATGTAGTAGTTTTATCCAATAAAGAGGAAAGCAGAGCCCTGTTGACTACCTAGAGTTGCGATAAAAGAGGTAAATGTTAAGAATATTTTGGGATATTTATGTACGTGTAGTAGCTGCCCTAAAGTCCTTTACCTCCCAGCGCGTTGGGATGTAAATCACCAATTGAACTTGTTTACTTGGGGCAAAAGCTTCCTGCTGCGAAATTTTCCTATACGAATGGTGCCACCGGAATTGGGCAGAAAATTGAGGAACAAATTGGATGAGCTCTAGAGGCAGGATTTATCAAAACCCCCTTTAAAAGTCCCTCTCCTTTTAGGGCCCCCAAAATTGTCCCAGGAGCCCACACACCATGACGGATAGCTGTGAGCCGGCTGGATGACTCTACACGGATTAATCGAGAGCTTTGAATGAAGTCACGGTAATAAGTTTATTGCCATTCACGTTGTAGGAGGATTTTATTCATCATCCCGTTTTGGGAAGCGAAGCTCGGTAAATTCCACCAAGTTAGATCTTTGGTCCGGTATCAACCAATTCGTATGTTACCACGTGTGAACTCGGTATTTTTATTAAGATTTTTAACAAAATTAATGTTGTGGTGGTAGGCTTAACTTGGGAGACCGTTGTGGTATACAATAAATAGCCTAGAAGAGGAACAAAGCCCCCATTTGCAATCTGGTCTTTAAACAAGCTCGAGAAAAATAAACTGTTTTCCTAAAAAAAGTATGCCTTCAGTCAACAACACATTAAGTTCTGGGCAAGCATTGAATAGTGTGTTTCACGTCTCGAATGATGAGCAAAATTGTGAGGAGCTATCAAGAGTGGTGGAAGTGTCATGCTTGTGGTGATAGAATTGCGAATTTTAGGCTTAGGATTGATAACAATATTTCTGCGTTTTGAATAGGGGATACTCCAACAAGATCCTTGTTTGTTGGAGTGCAGGTTTATGAAAGAGAAGGACCAGAACTTGGGTTATTGTAACGTCCCAATATTTTCTACTGTTCCTTAATAGTGAAGTGTGACATGCCTTGCGTGAATCGAGTCCGTGTGCTGAGGGTTAAGTCGGCTGACGCAACAAAAAACCCACGTTCGAGCCATTTAGAGTCTAGAGGTGGGGAGAATGGGATGTTAGAACTGAAATAAGATGAAAAGAAATGGACTTACGAAGTGAAGTCAAAAGGAATCAAAGTATAAGTGAATAGGACTTACTTGCACTAAAGAGTAAAGCTTAGTATTAAAGTTGTGAACCGATTGACACATTGAGGTACCATTGGGTAATTTCACATAAAAATCATTGAATTTTGGAGATGTAGCCGCGAGACTTCCAATTTTCGAATTTTTCTCTTCTTCAGTCTTTAATCCTTCATATTCTCCTCTACTTCCCTCTTCCACCTGCCTTTCTCACCCCAAACACATTTGTAATGAATAGTTGGAAGATTATATGGTAGTTAGAGTCCCTTAACTTCAAACTTCTATCATATCCAGTGAAGTAACCTTCTTGAATTTTCAATAAATTTGAATTCCGTTTGATGAGATTTTTAGATGATTCATAAGAAATAATATGGTATAGGAGAGGTGAGCCAAAGGTAGAGAAGGAAGCTAAAAAGAAGAGCTCAAGCCTTTTGGAGTGAAGGTGGTGCTATCGTCTTTTAGGTGTAATTATTTCCTTGCATGAGAATTTGTGTGGCGTCGTTGAAATAATGAGAAGATATGTTGCTTAATGTTTGCACGTGAGAGGACTCGGAAATGGGAGAAAAGCATGGAATGAAATGAATAAAGAAGTGAGGATATTGATATGTGTACAGAACGGAAGAAGGTTAAATTTGCTGGAAAAAGTAACAGTAAACACCATGACTTTTTTTGACCACTAGTTAATGATGGAAATTAGAATGGCATAAGAAGAGTTTATCTTTTCCTCTATGTGTTAAACTTTCAAATGTTTTGAATCAGCTCACCAAATCGTGAGTTAATAGATTGAGAAGATAATGAACCAAAAGAGTAATGGACTTGCAGGCTGAAAAAACATGAACGCGGCGCTCGGAATTCATCCTCGATGCTCGCGGAATGTGCATGAAAACTCTTCTGACTCTCATTTGTTGGCTTCGCCGCAGTCGAGAATTTCCATTGCACGCTCACGAAATTGGCCTGGTAAAACCACTGACACCTGCATATGTGCTTCTTAACGCCTCGCGACTTTGTATGTGCGCCGCGTCCGCGACATAGTGTTTGTGAATGCTGCAATTTGGACCTCTTTTCTTTATGCAGATTGGTAATTCCTTTGCTCAACTTGTATGTCTCCAATCATTTTTAAAACAAAAAGACAACATAAAACATGTGTATCAAAACAAATGCAGAGCATGCAAATGAATGTGAAACCAAAGGTAAACAATAGGTTTATGAAAGTTAATGAAGACTTTAATACGCTTTGTTTGTATACTATTGACATAACCGTATATTATGTCTCCAATTGAGTTAAAGGATACGAAACCATGTAAGAAGTAAGGAAGTCGCCGACATATGGATAGCAGATCTGCGCCCCATATAAGTTTGGTACTCCCAGCTACAGGCCGTTGAGTGAAATATGATTATATAATGGCCATAGCGAGCCCCAGTCTATACAGTATCATCAGTTTCGATACAGATTCTTCTTAACACTTTGGTTTCACTATAGCCTTATGGGAGCTATATCAGTGTATATTG